TTAAAGATATTAACATTTATGACGTATGACTCCATGTTTGGCTTTCATTTTGTTTGGTGCTTCTGACTTTAAACAGAGACGATCCACTGGAAATGTTCCTGTGTGTTCTGATTCCGCAGTACCAAATCATATCTAATAGTAGGAAATGTTCTCCCTTCACAAAATTCATAGCAATAATGGATTTTAGGCCTAGGAAAATTGTATGTGGGTCTTATAACCATCTAAGATGAATAAATTTTACCACTTTGACTTCAAATTATTTTTTTCCTTATTCTTCAGCAATTTCTCTATATCTGTAAGTTCCAAGCTCCATTGTGTTGATTATACTTGAAGGCAGTAAGCAGTACAATAGAAATCCTATTTCCTGAATAGAAAGGTTCTATAATGTCAGTAGACTCTTCATGTTAGACCTTTCAAAACCTCAAATCTTGAGTTCAAAGGCCTCACTTACAACCTGACAACAGCTCAGAGGAATAAACACACCTCTCCTCGTTCAGGCCCCAGAATCATGTTCCCTTTATATCTGTTAACATACTTTCTCAAAGGAGAAGAGCTCTGTTTCCTATTCCACCATCCCCAAATCATAGTTCTTTAATTCCACTGGGAAAGTAAGAACAAAGGGACTCCAGACTTGATGTTATAAATCAACTCCTTAAGAATGAGGGACAAAAATTACATGAGCTAAAATGGAAATGGGCAATATAAAAAGTAAATCCCTTTTGGGGCTGGGATATGATGACTCATTCAGGCCTGTGTTGACAATGGCTTGGTTTGGACTGGGGCAATGGTAGCTTGAAAACCAGAGTTTGATTCCCAAGACCCACACAGAAAGTCATGTGCTAATACATGAGTAATCCCAGAACTGGGGAGGTGGGGTGGGCAGATCTCTGAGGCTTGCTCATCAGACTGCCTAACCTACTCAGTGAGTTCCAGACCAATAAGAGATAACGAATGTCTCAAAGCACTAGGTGACCACTCATGAGTAATGACACACAAGGTTGACAGCTGGCCCCTACACAACATGCATCTGCGTGCACACATGTAAATATATATATGTACAATACACAAAAAAGGTAAAGAAAAAAGACTCCTCTTAATGAAATTAAGGATATTTTTATACGGCACCCCAGTTTCTCTCACAGCTACTGCGAAGACATTTTCTTGCTTCCCAGGAAGGATACAGCATTCCCTTTCATGCTCCATTTGGAGTAACAGGCCAGGCCCCGGGGGTTGTCATTGTCAGTAGCATTGCAATAATGTTTATTACAACTATGTTAATTCAATCAAGGTTGCAATTCAGTTATTGCCTAAAAGCTATGTCGTTATTCTGTTGAGATGAGAGAGAGCATAGTGACCAGGTGGCTATGAATATAATGTCAGTTGGAAAATTAAGGTTCTGTGTGTGTGTGTGTGTGTGTGTGTGTGTGTGTGTGTGTGTTGTATGTGGCAAGTTTCTTCTCTGACATTGGGTGTAGATGGGCACACCCAAGGCTACCTTACTACCATCATCTTTGGGACTGTACACTTAATAGAAAAACACTTCATGGAAAAGCACAGTCAGGAATCACTACAGCCACCAAAACTACCACCTTCAGGCAGTCATCTCTTCAGGAACTCTCACTGGGTTTCCTGCCTTTGACTTTAGAGTGTTTTTGTCATTGTATTTTTCCGAAATACACAGCATGGCTGTAATGTAGGATTGTGATGAGAGGGAGACAAGAATGGACAGCAAAGGCAGAAACTTGGACTCTCAAGTATCCCGTTCTCTCTGGTTGTTACAGCAAGATGGGACCTCAGGTTCTCCATGGACACACACCTAAACACACACGCTTTTCACCAAATGTGCTCAGCAAGAGCATGCTCACAGTCATGAGACCAGCCAGTCTATCTCACTGTTACCGCAGTGTCTCAGTGTACTCTCATCTGCCCAGCTAGAACAGGCCCCCGCCCCAGGCATGGCTCTGTGTTTTCAGGGCACCTCCCTGCCTGGAAATTCAGGGCTAAATAGCATCTATGGTTCCCTGGGTTTTGTCCTTGTGTCTAGGAGAGTTCTGTGACCCTGAAACTAGACTGAGCACCTCTGTGATTGGCTGCTTAGTAACCTTGTCTTGTCAAGAGCAGCCATAGTCTTTGTGATGCCTGCTTACTATCTGATGCCATACTAGACTGCAACCCCCAAGTGGACATTAACATCTGTGTCTCATTCATTTCAATACTCCCAGTTCCTAAAGCTACGAGGAACACATAATACACTCTCGGCCAACATTGATGAAGAAGGATTAACAATCTAAGATGTATAAAGTGCTAGGTTTAATTTCCTGGCACAAAGAAGTACTTGGTATGGTGGTTTGGCTAAGACCAGAAACAGGCTCGCTGCCGACTGTGGGCACTCTCCACTCTGCCTCCTTCCCTCCAGTGCTCTAAAGCTCCACTCTCACTGTCTTGTTGCCACAGCCTGCAGAGGAAATTACAGCATTCTATTTTTAGTTGTTTTTCAGAAGATTCAGCATGGTCTGCAAAGTGTGTAAAAGCTGTAATGACAGGCCATCATGCCACCAAGTCCTGCAGTTATATTTAGGTGGGCTCCTAGAGTTAAGGCTGAGCGCCTCAGTTCGTTACATTCATGTTTACTTTCAAACAAACCAGGAATGTGGCCTTGACTGGGCCAGAAGTTGTGGGGCTGCTCTGAAGTGTGCTTATTCTCCAATCCCCAGTGTTACTGGGGACAATAAAGCTGACCTTAACTTTATTTTTTAAAACGTGCCAGTGTTTCCACAGGAGGTAACTGAAATCACTAAATGGTGCTTTCAATCCTTGGACTTTTTTTTCTCTGAGGATTGAGTTGAGTTTGACTTATCTGAATATCTTCCTGGACCTGGCTGAGCTTTCATTTACCCTGAGGAAGAAAAGCAGAGGGCAGCATTAAGTTCTTTGAGCAGGTGATTGGATATGAACAAGTAAATTGGAACTCAGGATCAGAGAAGAAAATATGAGGGAGGAGACCAGGACTAAGAGAAGGAAAGGTGCAAATGAGGGCCCAGAACTAGAGGGAGAGGGGGAAGGGGGAAGACCTAGGCCTAAGAGAAAGAAGGTGATGATGGTGACCCAGGACCAACCAGGGGAGAGAAGATGAGGATGGTGACTGAGGACCTAAGAAACTTTGAGGATTGAAACACAGAGCCAGAGTAGGGAAGTGAGGACAGAGACTCAGAATCAGAGGCAAGAAGATGAGGTTGAAGATCTGGGATCGAAGTAGAGAAGGCAAGAATGGAGATCAGGACCAGAGGAAGGGAGGCAATAATGGAACAGAAGTCATAAACTCAAGGGTTCTCCAATACAGAAACAGACAATTTCCCAATATAGAGAAGAAAACTGGGTTTTGATCTTGGGTAACAGGTCATATCATAGAACAAAGAGAAAGTTCACAGAGGAAATCTGTCTTTGATACACACTGAACAAGATAAGTTTGCAGTGCCAGAGCTGTTGGAACTCAAGGACTCCTCCCAGGTGTATTGGCCATCTCTTTGGTAGCTTGGCTGTTTTATCCCTAGCTTTGAGGTCATAGTGGATCCTCTTTTATTAGGAGGTAGAACACCTTAGAAACAGGAGCCTTTGGCTTGTATATTAGATTAGTTGGGGCTCCATGTCCTGTCACCTCTCTGGCCTTCTATAATAGATGCTTTGTGCAGCTCTTCATTGCAACCATTTTAATGAAGTCATCCTAGAAAGCAAATGACAGGCCACTGTGAATAAGGAAACCAGGGCCAAGAAAGTGTCAATGAGTTGACCAGGTTCACAGGTGAGCACCAATATCCTGATTCCCCATTGGAGCAAAGGGCGCACTTTCAGCCCTTGCAGAGATGAATTTGCCAGCTAATTTAACTGCCATTTGTCCTTGCTCTGCAGCAGCTTGTTGCTGTGCACTCAGAACTGTTCTTAAAGTCTCTGTGTGTATTCCTTTGGTCTCACTTTGTTATGGTCAACTCTTCGTAGTGGAATGCTTATGTTTTCTGTATTCCCTCCCTGCCTTCTTGAGCGTCTATGTACATTTTTATGTTCGCTTCTACCAAAAATAGTACCTGGGTTAGTAACCAATCTAGTTTCTCCACATGTACACTAGCCAAGTTCTATCTCCTAAAATAAAGGTTGTTAAATAATAATAACTTTGAGAAGAGCAGGGAGTCAGAGCTGGGAAGATGGCCTAGTTGGTAAAGTGCTTGCCACACAAGCATGAAGACTTGAGCCAGACATGACCATGTATGCCTATAACCCTGTCAATGGGTAATTCCCAGGATTTGCTGGCTAGCCAGCCTGTGAGTGACCCTGCCTCAAAAAAGCAAAGTGGAAATCAAATGAAGAAGACACTTGTTGTTGTCCTCTGACCTGCACATGTACATAAACACACAGAGAGAAGGGAATGGGGAAAAAGAGGACAGCAGGTTTCTTAGCTGAAAGAGATGGTTGCACAAAAGCTTATCTACTGGTAGCATCTGTCCGATCATCCACACCACTGACACTAGGCGGTATTTAACGCTCTACTCCATCTGTCTTTCTCTTCCCCCTCAGACCACCAGCCTCCTCCTGGATGGAATCATGAAAAGTCACCAGGCATGGTGGCACACGCTCTTAATCCTAGTACTCAGGAGGCAGAGGCAGGTGGATCTCTGAGTTTGAGGCCAGCTTGGTTTACAGAGCAAGTTCCAGAACCGACAGGGATACGCAGAGAAACCCTGTCTTGAATAAAAAGAGAGGGTGGGGAGGAAAAGGAAGGAAAGTGTTGTCAGAGTTGGTGAGGATCTCACACAAGCTGGGAGAATGGACAGTAACCACCTAAGAAGGGATTCTTAGCAGGGGCTGCCCTACCTCAGTCAGAGCTGTAATGATAGGGCTCCCTTGGTCCTCAGAAGAGCAGTTTGATTAAATGCACCTACCAGACAGCTCAATCTCAGCTTCATAGAATTCATACACAATAGTTTCTTGTTCATTTTTCTACCACACAGATGCCTTGAACCTCCGAAACCGACAGGTTATCTGTGTCACACTCAAGGTCCTCCAGCATCTAGTTGTGTCAGCGGAGATGGTGGGCGAAGCGCTGGTGCCTTATTACCGTCAGATTCTCCCAATTCTGAACATCTTTAAGAACATGAATGGTGAGTGATCCCAGGAGCCAAGATGTCTCTTAAGCCCTAAAATGAGGAAGTGGGTTGAAGGAGGTCTAAGGTGAAACTTGTTTGGGACTATTACCCTTCAGTTTGGAGCTCTAAAATGTGTATCCCTACCCTTTTCTCATTGTCCCCCACCCCTGGAAATGATCAAGTCAGCAGTCACTCCTCACACCTGTGGCCCACTCAGTCAGTAGTGGAACCCTGAAATGCTTCTGTACATTTACAGTAATTAAATGGTATAGGTTTCTTTAATAGTCCTTGAATACATTAGAAGGTTTTGATCCTCCTTGCAAAGCTTTATAGCCCACTACTTATAAATTGATTAAAGGTGGGTGTTTTAAATACTGTTCAGATGTGGTAGGCAGTTTGGAGCCTTCTAACATCTGATCTTTCATTTCAAGGAAAAAGAAACTGAAAAATAATATTTTCTGCTATTAGTTACTAATACTTAATAATTTGTCATTAACAATTGTCAGTGACATGGATGGTGAGTACTGATTAAAAGTAGATATGAGAGTCAACTGTCTTTTGAAAGATATTCCTCACTTAGCTTCAGGAGCATGGATGCACTCAGAGGAATGGTTACCATGCTCAAATCTGTAGCAAGTCTTCTGTGGTCATTGGCAGGCCGAGGCTATGGGTTTGCAGTCATTGGTAGTCCACAACTATGGCTTTATGATCATTGGCAGTCTGATTTCCCTGAAAGAACACCAATCTTATTTTCCTCTTGTTGCTAACTTAGAAGTTCCGTACTTCTCACATGTATGGAAGCAGTCAAGATTTGAAGCTAGTTTCTGACAACCATGTAAATAAGTTGGTAATTTAGTGGAACACAGCATGAAAATCTTGCAACACGGTCTGCTCATTGTACACACAGGAAAACAATATCAAACAAAAAGCCAAGTGTTTGTCAGCCCCTGCCACAGACAAGCCTGGTACTTAGAGTCATGGTCTTTGAATGTAATCACTGACTGCTATTGAACCTGCACTGTTTATGCACTACTCAGGACATTGTGGGATTCTCAGGAGCTCTTTAGCTGTCTTTTGATCATATGACTTAACTATATGTTTGTAGTCCATCTCAAGCCATCTGAAGAGGAGAAGGTTGTATTGACACTTCAGCAAGAGGAAATTAAAAACCGTGTTTTAGTAATTTAGCTTCATACTGTTCAACCAATTGTTTTGGCAATAGCATTCCTATGTTATAAAAAATACTTGTAAACATTATTTATTCCTAATTAATATTCTACCATATAATAGCATCAAATATCTGTTATTTATAGAAAGATTACACATGTATGTGGTTCGATTATGGCTCAACGTAAGTTTCCTTGTATTATTTTAGTTATATCCAAACTCAACTTGAAGGAGCTTGAGCCAGAAGCAGAGATCTGTCGGGAGAGATAGATTGGCTATTCAAAAACCCTAGGTTAACATTTCCAAGCCTGTGTAACACAAATGTTTTCTCAGTATTCCTCGCACAAACTACAAAATGTTCACTGTTCATACTCACATGGTTTTATTATGAAACTTGCCTCCCTGTAGCTTTTCTCCCTTATAGAAACCTGTATCTGAATTAGATGATCATGGAGATCAGGCCTGCCCACATATTTCTGTCTGTTTTAAGCATGGAGGAATAGATAAATCCATAATCTGATACAGACTCTTCATATGATAAAATCTGCAACTTAAATCTAAGCACCATTTTGTATTCTGTGTGAATGAAAGCCATTGGTGAAGTCCAAGAAGATAGCCAAATTCTTGGGTACCAAATTTGGGAGGCAGGACTGATTCAGGCACCACAGACAGTCCTCCTGGGGTCATTTCCCTGTTGTTTCATAGGTAAAGCTTCTCTTTGTGTCTGCAGCTAGCAAATGCCCAGCTGCTAAGAAAGGCAGAGTTGCTTGTCTGTAGGACTATCCATTGGAGAGTTCACTGTGGGGTGTTCATAGTTTATCTAAGCCACTGTCGGTTTCAAGCACAGCCAACAATTTTGGAATATTTCCTAATGCACACATCAGAAATTCCATGTTCAAATTGCTTTTCTGTCAAACATTTTTCTGACACTTAAGAGGAAAAATGCTATCTTCTGCTTCATTTTCTCCTTTTCTTCAGAGCCTGTCACCACAATGCCAGGGTGAAGCATAGTATGTTCTGAGGGGCCTGTAATAAAATTGGATCGTTATGCTCTAAGAACAGAACGCTCTTCTATAATCCTGGAAGTGGCTCTGTATCCCAGGTCTATGAGGATCTCACTCCAGGACTTCTAGCTGTGTTAGCATTTCTACTAGGAAAATGGTTTTTCTTGACAGTAGTTTTTATTAAATATCCACTTCATGATTGTAGGTGTTGTACCCATATCCACAGTGCCTTGATTCTTACTTTATTTAAGCAGGATAAATTGTTTTCGAATCTGTCCTTCCCTTTCAAAATGTTTAAGCTTAAATGTGTGACTGGGGTTTGGGATAATGCTATCTTTTAAAAAGAAAGCCCATGTCACACAGAGGAAAAAAGTCTAGAATCGGATCTTTCATGGAAGATCCAAACTAGTACCTGTGTTTAGGGCTCATTTCTCCAGCTCCAGTACTAACCAGGCCCAACCATGTTTAGATTTGTGATCAGACAGGATTGGGCATGTTCAGGGTAACGTTGCCACTTATTGGAGCTCATTTTTCCGTATTATAAACAATAAGCTTGAGATGTCTAAACAATGTTGATTTTCCAGAAACTACACTGGGATGAGAAAAAGAACAATTTCTGTAAACTATTCATAAAATCCATTTGTCATACAGCCAATAGTAGCTTCATCTCTCCTACAATCTTTTATAAATGTTATTAAAGGTTACAGAAAATTAAGACAATAAGACTGTTCAGTTTATGGCTTTACCAGATGAAGCTACAAAATTGATGGTATGATGTAGAGGGGCATGAGCCACTAAATGACGTGAACTCACTCATAGCTAAACTGTAGACTGTAGGCGCTGACTGTAGACTGACAGCAAACCAGGACCCCCGAGAGACGGCATCCACATTGCATTCTCAGTTCCTAAGGGCAACAATGGTCCTGGATGAGCTTGTACCTGAGACAGTCAAAACTTCCAGCCTCCAAGATGCTGATGGTACCACAGGCCATGCAATAGAGATGTACTAACCCAACATCCTGATCCATGTTTGTGGAAATTAAATGATAAAGTATTTAGGATAAATCTTGAACATGCACAACTCAGACTAAGGTCTGTTAAAAAGAGACAAAGCTTTTTATTCAAGGGCGCACAAGGTGGCTTAGTAGCTACAGCCACTTCCTGCTTAGCCTGAGGACCTAAGTTCAATCCCAGGGACCCATAGGTGAAAAGAGAGTACAGACTCTTGCAAGTTCTCCTCTAATCTCCACTGTGGCATATGCCCCATTCCCCCAGTGATAATGAACAAACATAATATCTTTTTTAATTTTGGCAACTTAAATTAGACACGTCAATCCATATAAATAATAAGAATGTATTTGCAAAATTTTAGGATGTTTATGCTAGGTATTTGGCCTTCAAATTTAAATGGCTTCTGAAAAAAAATGAAACAAAAAACAGCTTTTCATGAGAACCTGAGTAGTCTCAGGCCACCTGATCCCAGGCCTTCTAGAAATGTCTGTGAGTTGTGTGTGGCTATTCTAGTGGCCCTTTAAAATTTGGGTGAACTTTTGGGTACTAGTTTTTACCCAAAACCAAGAAGTCTAATTTTTCTTGTATAATGGTTATTTCTCTGTAGGAAATTTGAGTTTAGTTTGGAATTAGGGTTTATTTCCTGTGGAATTTTGGCCCACTTTTTAGTCTATAGTTTACATTTTGGGACTTTTCCTCAAAGTTCTGTGGAAATCTTTATGTTTATTAAATTTGCAAGCACTGAATTGTTCTGTGTTCATATGGAAAGTTATTAGAACGGCTGCCTCCCACTGTTTCTGGATGTTAGATTGGCATTACTACATACTGTTCTAGTCCCTCTAAGTATTTGCTCCACATAAATTAAAACATTGGTCTAAAGGGTTGGAAAACAAAACAAAACCCAAAAACATGACAATGGCAAAACCTGAAAGATATATGTGAGGCCCTTTGCTCTGAGCATCTCTGTGTTGTTCTGAAACTGTGTATGAGTTTCACAGAGGCAAAATGTTTGCATCCTATGACCAAATGGGTATAGCCGAATATCTCTACCCTATAGTATGTGGGTTTTCTTTTGTTCTGAGGCAGGCTATAGCCTATAGTTCAGTGTAGAACACTCCTTCCTTGGCCTCTGAGTGTTAGGGTTGCAAGCCTGTCCACCACCCCTAGCAAAATCTCATCTTTGACAAGCAAACTGAGGGTCGATGTGTTCCTGTCTGCCATAGTGACACAACAGCTGAAAATGGCTTCTTTGGTGAGAACTTCTTTTCAGGGTGGTATTGTTTGGTCAAACAAAGGACTTTGTTTTATGCAGAGGGAGAATGGAGGTTTGTTGATTTCTTCTGAGATGCTGCAAACTAACTGGAGAGGAAAACAAGCACTCTCCATAGTTCTGAGAGCTGCCTGGGGGATGCTGCCCCGGGGGATGCCCAGGGCACTGCTGTCGTCCCACCCTGCTGCCTACTAGGGACCCCCATTGGAATGGGGGACTGCATTGCCTGCTAGAGCCTCTTCTTAAACCAGCTGTGCAAGAGGCCCAAGCACCTCACTGCCTAAATGGGTACTAGACCAGTAAGTGGAGTTTACCTGGTGCACAAGAAGGGAAGATGCTTTGAGCAGATCAAACAGTATGTGGAGAAACAAGAAATGGGACAACATGGGTAGTAGCCATGTGCAGTTCTGAGGGGTGAAGCAAAGGAAAAGAATGGGCAGTTATACAGCTACTCTGTGCCTCAGTTTCCTTAATTTAAACAGCAGGTTGTTGGAAGAATTAAAGACATTTTCAAACCCGCAGAGAACTCTTAGGAAGCCATTAGGTACACATGTCTTCTGGCT